CGAGGGAACAGAAAGGCACGGCGAATCAGTTTATTAAATAAAAGGCGATGTGAAACATGAAGAACGACCTTTGCACAAAAAAAAAACGACAGACACACGCTTCTCGCATGAAAACTTCACTAAATTACTAAGAAAAACATTGGCCAATAAGACAAAAAGAAAAAAATTAGTAACAATTCAGATACGGAAAAAACGGGAGCCGGGTAATTTGTTTATCCAGCGAAAGGAACACCTGCAGATTGCCAACTCTCGAGATCCCAGAGACAAATCCCTCTATTTTCCTCTCATTCTCTGTGTTTTCTCGCAATTTTTCCGCAATTCTTTTGTGAGATTGGAATGCAGTAGTTTCCAGTGGCAATGGCGAATTATTGCGCTTATTGAAGGAAAATGAGAAAATCCCCAGACACAAAGGAGCTAATGGAAAAAGAACAAAAGCTTACTTAGCTCTGAAGCAGATTACGAAAAGCATATTAGTTCGGATTTATGCACAAGAACTACATTAAAAAAGATTAGTTCTAACATTACATATGTAAATAATCAATTTTTATTCTTTTTACAATGTTTTGCAGTTAGGTATTTTTCCTAACATAATCCTTTTTGAAGAAATTGATATAAGCTCGCTTATCTTTGATCCCGATTTCCATATCCAAAACGCCCACTTGCAGGAATAGTACCCATTGTAAACTATTCCAAAATTGCTTAGATGTGTGTAGCTTTGCGCCCACCCCTTTAAGAAATCCACCACCCACCAACACCCCCACCTGTTTTCCACCCCTCACACGCCTACACAGTGTTTATTTGCACAAATGCGTGCGCTTTCGTTTTCCGATTTTTCCAACGAATTTCTTGGCCAGCAAAATTGCAAAACGAGGTAAAACTGGACAATGTGGGCTATATAGCGCTGCCATACGTTGGGGATTTACATATATATTCACGAAAAACTGCCTGTTGCTGTTGTTGTTTGGGTTTCTGGCTCGAGAACATGTGTCTGCAACATGCAAAAGTAATGCACAAAAACTAAACGGGGAGAAAATTTGATTTTTTCATAGATGATGTTATAAAAAACCCAGTTTTATTCCATCGATACCGATTTGTTGATATTTTCAAATGTCCTTTTAAAAATTGTTGATTAGAATATTTATAATACTTCGTTTGACCCACATATTATTATACTATAAATATAATATATTGATCTGAGGTTACTTTTTCGCCATTTTAAAAAAATCTTCTATTATAACTCTCAACATTTTTATAATAAATGTACCAATACTGATCCAAGTAATACATTAATTTCTCTCGTGTAGCATGACCTCCTCTTTGTTTTTCCCTTAACATTTCTGTTTCAAAATAATATTATAATCGTACAAATTGTAACTACTATATATTTTAACTACTGACCCAAGTCCTACATTAATTCCTTTAGTGTAGCAGAACTTCTACCCAGTTTTTCCCTTAAAAAATCAAAGATCGATGCTCATTTTCTCTCTTTCTCGTGTACAGGGATTTTGACTTTGACTGGACGCTGCCATTTAATGTGTGTAAACATTGCGCAAGCTAGAAAAACAACAAAACTGGAAAAAATCTGGAGTAATAAATTCCTATATTCATACGCCGCGTTGTACAAGCTCACCCAAAGAACAAAAAACGAAAAAAAAATACGTCGAAAAGGGAGGGAGGATTTTTTGGCTGATTCAGACAACAACAGAAATTCAAATACAAAAATGGGCAAAATGCAAATATACACACAGTTCGCCGCAATTTCCATGTGTGCGTTTGGCTTTTTCGGCAATTTTGCGGCATGTTTTTCACACATTCGCGCGCTGCGAGGAAAAGCAAGGAAAAGCGAGGAAAAACAATCGAACACGACGCTCTGGCTGCCATGAAATATGGTATATCAATATTCATACTCGTATTCGCACTGGCATTCGTATTCCTATTCATTCCATTCGATACGATACATGATGATGATGATGCAAGTGCAAATTTATTTGCCACTTTGTGTGCGGCTCGCCGAGTTGTAAGTGAAATTTTGAATTTCCCACTGGACGGCTGGCTGGAAAAGCCTCCAAGTTGATTGATTTTCCAATTGCAAACTGAGTGCTTTTGAGTTAGTAGTTTTGGGGCTACAGAGAGAGAAAATGGGCACCTAAAATTGGATAACTTTAAAGGAAAAATAATAGTTCTACAAAATTTTAAAAACCAATTCCATTTTAAGAACACCTTCTGCCAATCCAATAATCTAAATATACCATATACTACTTTATTTGTATAACTTCCTCTTAAATAAAAACCATTGAGAAGTTAATAGTTTTTCCAAATGAGATAAATATCAATGTTAAGCTAGGTTATATCCAAAATTCAAATAAATGAGATTCGAGTCTAAGATCGTATTAGATAAAAACCAATTCCCTCAAGAAAAAATCCATCTTATTTCATGAACTTCTATTTAAACTTTTTGTATTAACCAACATTCCATAATTTTTTCCTGTGCACTAAGCAGTTCAATGAGCTTTGTCCGTTCAGTCAACGAGTGATCCCCAAAATTCTTCGGCTGAACAACTGAAAATGAAAATCCCCCCTGCTCAAATTCACAGTTCAGCACGATTTTCCCCCCCGCCGTCGAAAAAGAAAACGGCAATCGAATGAGATGTCAGGAATGCCCGGCCAAAGGGAATTCTACGGATGGTAAGGGGTTGTCGAGGAGGAGGACTGGAAATAGCCCCAGCGACACTCATTTCAGAGTGTTTAAGAGCGCTCACACGCAGAAAACACACAAAACGACAACAACACCTTGTGCCCCACTCAACACTAAAAATTACATTGAAAATGCTCATAAAAACAGCGGAGGAATAAAAGAAAAGCTGGAAAGGGAGAGCAGTCGTTTTGGGTCTGCCTCGCTTTTCTTTTTCATTTTCATTAAATTTAATTTTATTCGGCCAATTTTGCTGAGCAGTCTGCCCCTCGTTAATCATGTAAATAAAAAAGCCATAAACGAAAAAATCTAAACGATATTTTTTACATTTCGCTGCAGTTGTCTAATCACAGGCATCAAATACACTATATATACCACAAGGAATAGAAATATATGTGTGTTCGCAATACATTGAAAGAGTGTCAAGGCTTGGAAAATTTTACGTTCCGATTAGCCACAAGAAATGGAATTTTTTCTGCTCTTTTCTGCTATTTGTAAACAAGCTTGCATTGTTGTAAACAAGTCGTTTATATGGCCAAGATGATTTGGCTTATCCATTTGTTGTTCGCTGGTTTTTTTAGTTTGATTAATTCTGGGTATTAGTGTAATTTATTTATTTTTAAATGCCTCGGGGGGTAGTTTATTTATCGTGGCTTTCAACAAGTGGCAGCGGTGGATTATTTGCCTTTAAAAAGATAAAAGGAGTTTAACTTTAAAGGGTGGATGGTTCTGGAAACCAAGTTAAGGTAATTTAATAATTGGTATTTATTTTTTAAAGGTGGATTGTTTTGGACCCCAATTTTGAGTTTTGTAATTATTTTTGCTTATTTTCTAAAGCTTATATAAAAGTTTATTTGCTGTTGAGTCTGAAATAACAGCCAAATGGTTACGAAAGACCTCTTCCTATATGAGTTGCATTTTCCTTTCCTTCTATATCAAATATTTCCCGCATGATTTTCGATTCCCCGGCTGCGTTTTTCGGGGGTTCGCCCACGCTTTGTTTAACTTTGGCATATATGCTGGGTTCCTCGTTATATTATATACTCATACAATGTCTGCATTTGTTGACAACATTTTACAATGCTTTATTTTTAACAGCTCGTTAGCCAAGGCGGAGAAGGGCTGGGGGAGGTGGGTGGTAGGTGGTGGTCTGTGGGTGGCAGTGGGTGGGGAGAGGCGTAAAAGGGGGCGGAGGAAGGTGGGCTGGTCAGTTTGACATTGAGCGCGTGCCAAGCAGAAAACGCACGGCCAAAAGGCAGATAGTCTAGAGAAAAAACAAAACAGCCTCCCCTCATTAGGGACAACACTTTTGCTTAATTAATCTAAATTAACTAGAATAAAGCTGCTAGATATTCCTACATTTTTAATTTTAACCTCATATTTACCGCACTTTAATGGTAGAAATAGTTATCTCTACATTTGATAAAATTAACGCATAGCACTAAATAAATGTAAACTTTTTATGACAAATGTACAAACGTAATATTTGATGTCCACCCAAATTCCAAATGTGATTTATTATGAGTTTGTGGCTTTGGATCTTTTAAACACTATGTCGATTGCATTAAAATAAATAAATCATATACTATAATGTTAAGACCGAATTATGCAAACAAGTAAAGTATTTTTACTAATTAAGAGTTAATGTTAAATGGTTGGGAGTTAGGAACTGTATTCTTTCGAATTATATTTACGCCATTTAACGAATTCAAAAAAATTGTTGTATCAAATGCAGACAAAGCTTATGTTTATGGCTCATTTTGGAGGATCCGAAAGATAAAGGAAATGAAAATCCTCTTTGAAACATAATTAGTTTCCTGTGCAAAATATTTTGACATTTCCGGTCAGAACTTTAATATTGTCAAAAACGCCACGAAAATCCATTTTTCCCCAGCTAATCTCGAGGCCTATTTTTTGCAGTCGGTGGCGTTAGCTGTCATGGTTTTCCACTACTGCTGAAAAATTTTAAGAAGACGCGTCAGCAGTATTCTTTTTTTATAATTTTTTTTGTTGTTAGCAGGAAAAACTAAGTGCCTAGCAATTGCTGCCCCTGGGCAAAAGAGCAAGAAAAATTAAAACAAACAAATGGAGAGCAAAGTTAATGTCAGTCAAGTGGTGGGGAGAAATCGGGTAGGCCACGCGGAAGGGGGCTGAAAATTAAGCATAAATCTTTCAATTGTGTTTGGATTTTGGGCCGAAGTTAATAGCCAATCGGTTAACGAACCCGCACTGCACTTTTCCGGCCATTGTTTATACAGAGAAGAGTAGGTGGATATTTGGATAGGTTGGATGTAAGATCTAGGCATACCCTCACAATGTTTGCAACATTTTGCTGGTGGCTCATCGCTGGCGGCGTCGGCAATGACCGGCATGGTCCCCGCGAACCACTAAAACCACCCGGTGGTGCTGCAGATACTACTCGGGATTTCACACAGCTCGATGAACGGGCGTCTGGGGGTTTTCAGAGACACATCCTTGGGTTTGGGCACTTGAGACACTCGCGTTTGACACAACCACCTGATGAATCTATGTTCTCCCGTTTGTTATTTTATTTATATTTTTTTTTTGTTTTAACAATGGTTTTAGCAATGGAATGTTGGCATTTTCGTAACACTTCTTAGGCTAAACACTTGAAGATCAGTTAGATCGGTTATCGTAAGATCCTCTCTCGGTTCGCTATAGTCCGCTACTGACGGTGCTAATCGTTCTGCTGTCTGTCGTCTGTGTGGGACGTCACGCCAGGCTATTTCTAGTCTTTTTTGGCTTTCACATTGCGCTTTTCCGTGGAAATCGTCTGTGTTCGTTCGAGAGACGTTCAAACGTGAAACCTCCGCAGAGACCACTGAGTGTAGATATTCCGGGCGCACGCCGATCTGCTCCCATTTCGAATACCGAATTCGAAATCCTCAAAAAATCTTCGAAATCTTTGAAATCCCCGCCGCATCTCGCCACTGTTAGATAATTTGACTTTTTCACCATTTTTCCTCAATGAAACAATGAACTTTCACATTTCGTACACGAACAACAACCGAGATCCGAGAATACGCTCGCTCTTTCACTCTCCCAGTTTCGAAAACGTTTTTTCGAAAATAGAACGCAAGATCCTCTCACCGGAGAGTCCGGCGATCGCCGATCGGCGCACGGCTCTTAATTTCGAAAAGTTTTCTTCAAAGTTTTCGGCCGATTTTCCCGAGCACCCTACACTAAGGAGAGTTGCTCATTTAGTCAGGTATTACGGGTCCTACGATCGTTTGGGTTTCGTTTCTAAGTGGGTTTCTGGGTCAAGGCGTGTGCCTGCACTTAGTCTATTATTTTTTACGGGTTCAGTTACGAAGAAATGCGTGAAGGTCTCTCAAAGGTTGAAGATGATTAGAAAGTATCCTTGGCTGTCACAAGATAGCAATTAATAACTTTTTAAGATGTACCTAGTATAGTTTCCGCTAAATATTCAATTTTATACAATATACTGTATAAAATTATATAAGTATTAATATTTAACAACATTTACCAACTTTTAGTTTAACCTTAAGATCTAGTTTTTATACCTAAACAAGCAAAAATATTGAAGGTCAGGTCCAAAAATGTATGCAGCTCCCAAAAATAGACTCCTAAGCCCCTATTAAAAATATAAACTAATTATTAGCAAGCTTGTAAGCTTATATAAAATAGATGAACAAAAGAAAACCTCTTAAAGTTCAACGCATCCTAAACGAATTCGAATTCCCAAATAAATATAGCCTAAGCACTTTTTAATGTATTTTATTTATGACTAACTTCCTAAAATATATTTCCCCATTTCACTTTCCAGTCCCGCGACACCTTTCTTTTATTTTCCCTGCCCACATATCAAAAGGAGCAACAACAAGAAATGCCAAATGAAAAATGCGAAAAAAATAATATTTATTATTTGGCCAACATCCAAAGCAGAGATCTTAACTGCAAAAATCCTTTGCAAACAATCCAACGACCTTGAAAAGCAACGTTTCTGAAATAACTTTCGCCAGATCGCAGCATAATTTTTTGCCAATAAACAAATTCACAAATTGGGCAATTGGACGTTGGGGAATCGATTCAAGATATAAAATCTAATTTATGATGGTTGTAGAATATCTAAACACAGGCCAAACTGTGAATTGATTCGATGTCGATTGTGGTGGGCCGTAAGATATTATAAGAGAACCACCTGCATGACTAATCCCCGATCCGTAACCCCCTCGAATTTGCTCTTTCGATTGATTTTGCGGCCGAGGAATGCAGGCAGAGGAAAATCAAAGTAAATTGCAAGTATAAATTTAGAACACCGACAAGACTAATTGGGTTAAATTTAGCACAAACATATATATATTTTTTTATTATTCGCAAACAGAAATATACATTTAAAAGAATAACATAAAATCACATACCAAAAGCAGCAACTAAAAATAAGAAAATTGACTCAGCACGGAATTTGGTTGTCGTTCGTTTCGATTTAGCGACACAAAATTCTTTCTCTGCCCGACTGACGAGTGCAGAAACTGTAGAAAATCATTTTTTAAATTTATGGCCAAATTGGGCGCAAACGTCAAAAGACTTTTCAATCCCCTGGGGAGAAATCCGACGATCATCTTCGATTGTGTCATGGCTGTGGGCGTGTTTTATGACGCCTTCCGACCCCAACTCGCAAAACTATTTCCGAATACAGTGGGAACTAGATATAGTTTAAAGATATAACTTGTATATTCTTACATAATACTCGTTATCAGAATATCATTATATAGGTAAAATAAACCATGCAGATTTTTTATTCTAAAAGATTGAATCGTTATGATAAATGGTTACAATCGGTTCTACATCTGAATATTGTACTTGGGGTGGATGGTAAAAAATACCTTTTAAAGTAAGTTACATTTGATTTATTCACCTTATTTTTTAAGTACTCTTATTTTCAAAGCCCCTCTGTATGTATAGTTAAATCTTGTTTGCCTTCGATTTCTCAATTCTTTGCCTTTCTGAGCAGTCCCCAATTTAGAAATTGTCATAAACAAAGCGAACCATTTTTCTTGGGAAAATATCGCCCATTTGAATTTTCCATTTGCTGCGTTTGCACAGTTTTCACATTTTCCATGCTGCAAGTGCAATGTCAGGGCCAAACAAATGCACCGAAAAAAAGGGAATTTATTTGCGAATTTCGGCGTTCGCACACTTTTATAGTGCACATGCTAGAAACATAAAACTATATGTGTGCACTTCCATCCGAATTTAATTGTTGCCACTGTCAAGCACCTCGTCCAGGGTCACAGACAAATAGTTTGGCCTGTGAGTTATGAGTGGGCTGACTTTTATGGCCCACTGTGCACCCGAAAACGGCCCCCTTTCCCTCATTTTTCGGCAGAAATGCTGCGAAAATCCATTCCATTCCCGATCGTCTTAATGCAGGCATTGCTTATTTATTTGTTGGATTTTTTGTGCATAAATTATAAAGCGGGTAGCATAAAAAATATGGGAACAAGGCACCAAGACAAACACAAATCGAGCGCGTCAGAATTTTTGGCGTGGGCGAGAAAAGTTTTTCTTTCTTTCGTTTTTTTTTCGGGGCAGCAGCAGCGGCGGAAAATTGAAAAACATTTTTCACCGTGCGAAAGTTTCTGGTGCTTTTACTTTGACGTCGTTTCATAATGACGAAACGGCACAGCGAGCATTTAGTTTTAAAACAGCTATAAACAAAGATCATTCGAAGACAGCGGGAGTTTCAAGAGATTTTGCTCACCAAATTTTAATATTTTATAAAAATAAAAAAAAAAATTGTCTAATATCCTTAAAATATTTATACCATTTTTTATATATTTAGGAAGAAATTATCACAACAAAACTTAACGACCATGGGCACGTCCATCGGGTTCTTTGAACTTTCTAAACTATTGTTCTTTTTTTTCCCCCGTATCAATAAATATGAAATACTGAGATTATCCCCCAAATTTTACATCTCTCATTAATTAAAAGCCCTTTCCCCAAGGAGTCCACTGAAATACACAAAAACTTGAGAAATAACAGCCAATTCCATAGCCCGATTTCATAATCTGTGATAATTTATGTGATTACTTAAATGAGCAATGTTAGATCGGTCAAAATAAGAAAAAACTATGCCAAGAACATCTAATTGGTCGAGAGAAAAACAAAAACGCTGAAATATTAAATATGTCTCACACACTGCTAGCGAAAAGTATGCTATTACTTTTGTGGGTGGCCAGTAGCAACAGGTAGAGGGTAAAAATTTTTGGCAGGCACTGTGGGGTGACAACAAGCCACAATATAAATAAAAAGGCTAACAAAAAATAAGAAAAATATGCTTGACAACACGGAGCACAGCCGCTGCAATAAATAAATATTCAAATCGGCTAATAATATTACAAAATACACACAAATTTTTGTAAATGTCGAAATGGAAACGAACGAATAATGCTTACACTTTCCTATCAAACTTATCAAAGAATCTATATGAACCAATTTTTTAACTATATACTAATGGACTAAGTAAGCTGCAGAACGTTAAAAATAAATAACAAACAGCCAAAATATTTGTAATATTTATGTATAATGAAAAGCGTTCATATAAATTCTCGAATTTCTTATCTTGAAGTAAAGTAAGTCGAAAGTCATTTCTTATCTGGTTCTTATATGTAAATATAGCTCGGCACATATTTTTATCGATTCAGCAGAGTCTTTTTACAAAACTTATGGAAGTGATGCCTTTCTGCGGTTTTCAGATGATAAATACAAATCCATAAAGTATAATAGTCAAGAGACTGAAACCTCAACCGCCGCCCACTCGCTAATTATTATATGATGTTTCATAGGACAGGTGGGCAAGTTTATTTTTATTGTTACAGACAGTATTCTATAAATTAAACCAAGTCATGAGCACTTTTATTTTTTTAACATGCCTTTTAAAACCAATTTAACATTAGCTTTATACTTTAGATAGTAGGTTTAATTTAATTTATATTTTCATAGAAGCACATTAAAAAAGAGGTATTTTCGTTGAAGTTTTATTTAGATTTTTTGTTTTATATTTTTATTGTGTTATTCATTCTATTAGAGTTGATATAATATTGTTTGCTATTTTTTTTAAATAAATGTTGCTTTAAGCAGGGTTTACTGTAGTTTTGTTAGTAAAATCAGGAAAAATAGGAGACACCCCCGATTGCTTGTAATATTTATATGCACCCTACATTTTTAAATTGATTTTTTATTTTCAATCAAAAATCTTTGAAACTTGGGAGAGAGAAATGTTCCAATTGGAAAAAGGGCGTTGCATGTTCGAACAAAAGGAGACAACAAAAACGAAACGCCGGCAAAACAAAGACGCGAAGAGCGGCACAAAGCAGAGAAGCGAAAAGCGACGAAGAGGAGCCACAGAGAGATGCGAAAACTTTGCGAATCTCTCGCAAAGCGGATTAAAAGCAGCCAAATAGATATACATAAATGCAATTAAATAAAGGGGCCTACGTGAAAATTGCAGCAGAAATCAAATTTAGACGGGAATCACACGCACCTCGCACGCACACCACCTCACACACACGCATATTTATATAAATAAACAAAAATGAAGCATAAAAAATAGCAAAATTACCTCAGCGCACGTTGTTGTTTTTGTTGCTGCTGTATGTGTGTGTAGTTGCTGGTATTTTTATAAGATATTGTTATTGTTGGTGCAGCTGCTGAAATCGCAGCGATTTTCGCGACACGTAGACGGCCGACGATGGGGCGAGAAACTTATTGCACATTGGAAAAGCGTTTTGAGGCGCGGGGCGAACTCTAAACGGTTGTTAAATAATGTTTATATATTTAATACAATTTTTAA